AAAAAAAAATGCATGAATTTAAATTGTTGAACGAGTTTTGGCTTTGCATAAATTATACATCATTTTTTTAAAAGCAAAGTCAAGTTTAACTTTACAAGTGATTCTCATAAATATTATGCTGAAAGAGGGGAAATTAAAATTGTGATGATGAGATTCTTAAAATATAAGGAACAGCAAATTTGTTTTAAAAATACTAAAACATTAGCATTTAAAAGGTAAAAGATTCTACTCCAATGGACTTCTCAAACTGCCTTGCCAATTGATGCTTGATGTGTTGTTACTATGTTTTACTCTGCAGATTATGAATAGGTGATTTGTGAGAGAAATGATTGCATAGACTTTCTGGCATTGAGCTCTCTTCTTCTCTCCTTCCTCTTATTAATTTATTAAATACTTTGCAAGGATGGTCCTAAATCAATCTCTTTCAAGTACATTGGGACCTACGCAATAGGTATGCCATATTGTTTCCAGAATTTGTATTTTTTCCAAACAATTCCATTTCTCATGAAGTAAGAAAAAATGTTTTGGATTCAATTTGCCCAAAGCTCTATCATTATTTATATCTAAAGAACAGCACGCAGTTCTGTAGTCTCAACCTCCCCTGTCCCTAGCTAGCAATCAAGTGGAACTTCCAAAATTGTTATTACATTATATGGAGCACTTGGGTAAAACACATTGCAACTGGTTATTAACGACTATTGTAAATTCACTAGGCAATGCAACTGCAAATAATAATTATAACACAATAACTCAAGTCACTTCAGTGTGACAGCTGGTTTGGCACTCAAAGGCAATGAATCCAAGGTAAATCTTGAATTCACTAGTATAAATTCAGAAGCAATCAGTTTTAGTTTATCTTTATCAAAAAAATGTTTATCGCCAGAGTAGCTTAGAAAACTGGACTCTGTATTAAAGCTCCAACAATATCCAGTTAACTTAGCTACTGACAACTTCTAATATTTACATAGTCATTTGAGTTCCAAAGAGAAGCAGCTCTCACTTTGCACAACTCTGCTACACAAAAATTACAATTACCATGGCTTAAATTGCATCACTCTCAAAACAACATTGTTCAAATTTCAATTCCCATGGTAACTCACGTTAACTGTAACTGCATAAATATAAAACTTTACTACTAACTCTTCCATCTACAAATGCCTGCATAAATGACAGATGTGTTTTGTAATCAGTTACTGATCACATCTGTCTGATTGATCACTGAACATCTTTTCTTCAGTCCACACACTGGCAACAAAATTTAAAGTTCCATTGGTTCCTTGCCTCCCCATGATAAATTCATGTAACATTTTACAAAAAAAAAAAAGAAAAATGGATAACTGAAAGAGAATTGGCCAGTTAAGATGAAAGCAAAGAAAAGAAATGCAGGAAGTGAAATTCAAATCCAACATAGCTGAGCATGGGAACAGGGACACAGCCACTATCTGAGCCAGGAAGTGATGGAAGAAAAACTGATGAGGAAAATCACTGTGATGAAAGGAACAACATTGTCGCAAAGAAAGTCAAATCAGCAAAAACCTTCGCATCAAAGAAGTTCTCAAAGATATTTCAGGAAATTAAACATACAAAGGATCAAATGTTGGAAAATGATCCAAACTTCCAAAGGAGTAAAATTCATCAGGACACAGAGAACATTTACACTTCCAAATTGTAAATTATAAAAAAAAAAAAAAAAAAGGCAGAAAGCACTGTGCAAATTACTCTTCACAATTCACAAAGAAATAAAAAACTATTTCTAATGTTTTAGAGTAAAAAAGATTATTCAATTTATCTATACATTTATAAACTATAGGTAAGTGAGTTCTTAATGTTTTGACATTTTTAAAGATCTTAATAAGCAACACAATTTTTCCACTGATTATTAGGATTCCTTTGTGTGATTGCAAGTTATACGGTCTTTTTTATGGTCCTGCACCATCATGCAGAGCTAGGACTACCTGTCTGTTCTTTTGTGTTGTTCCTAAAACCCATGAGGTTCACATCTTCTGTTTATTAAAAAAAAAAAAATTATCTAGAGAGAATAAATGACTACCTGAATATAACAATTTCCCACAATTTAGTCCTGGAGAAAAAATTGTACCCGCTTTTTTTTTTTTTTTTTTTGCAATTTATGGGTACTATTGGAGACTTACCCAAATTCAACTATTTCTCAAATAATTAAGTTTCAGAATGTTATGGTAGAAAAGTAGCTCAGATACTTACAGATCTGGTCCGTATGAACCAATGTTGACATGGGACTTAAAAGTATAGTTTGTCCAGTTAATGGGTCTTGAGACAAATGTGGGTGCATTGGATGATGAAGATGATTTCCATCATTGGAAGCACCTAAAGAAGATAAAGATAGATGCTTGCATTAGTCATATTTATGGAGAATGGCAGGTTTATCTTGGCACAAATATTTGACAGCTTAAATATTGCTGTTTTTGCCAAGTGCTTTTTGAGAATTCGAATGTAAATTGATAGAACCACTATCATAGTAAAGACAATGTCAGCTTTCACTGCATATTGGCTAGATGAATGTTGTAGCATAATGTTGTTTATTAATAATGGACCTTATGTGCTATTTCCTGGAATCATTAGGTTTACTGCGTATTATTAAAACAATTCCAAGAATCGCTTACCTCAAGTTTATGGTATTTGGGACCACCCTAATACAATAATCAACCTTTATTTCAGAAAGATATTAAGCACCAGAAAAATTAAAACACAAATAGTGTATTTATAAGGACACTTAATCTATATCAAACTTTAAATAATTTCTTAACTTATTCCTCACATTTTATTTGCAGCATTAAAATATCATTTTCTTCTTCTACAATTTTGTGTCAATAACCCAGAAGCAAAAATGTTCATTTTAAGCTATTTAGTGTGTGTGTGTGTGTGTGTGTGTGTGTGTGTGTGTGTGTGTTTAGGCTATTTTACAATACCTATATTCTTTAAGATTTAAAGGAATTAGGAGATACACACACATACACCACACACTCCTTAAGAGGTCCTATAAATAGGTAGTACATTTCTATTTTCCTTATATGGAAATATTTGAAAATTGAAGTAAAAGGGACTATGGAGGAAAGATGGTGAATTCTGGTAAGAATGGGGATTTGAATCTTTTCCAGTATTTTTACCCCACTCTAAAGGGTTTTTGCAGACTTTCTAAATGTAACAAATTGAATTTATTATGTCATGGCAGAAGAAGATAAAAAATCAGGAGGAACATAAGGCAACTTGAAAAGATGAAATAAATGTAGACAAAAAGTAAGTAAATCGGGCAAACATGCTCTAAGCTACTTAGTGTGATTTGAATCAATATAATAGAAATTCTTAAATGTACTCACCACCCAGTAGCATTTCCTGAAGCAGGTTGTCAATTTTAACCATTCCAAAAAGCTTCACAAATTGTATTTGCTCGATCATTTGCCAGGTGATGCTCTGCAGCGTGGGCAGGAGCAAGAGCAGCTCCCCAAACCTGCCCCTGGAGTCATACTGCCTGTCGTTGATGTAGTCCTCTAGACTGATCTGCACTTGGAACCGCATGTTCTTAATTTTTACTGGGTCACTTAGTCCTTTTGCATCTAATAAAAAAACAAAAGGCACAATTTGAAGATTGAATCAAGCTAGTGAATGAGAGGAGCTATTCTAATATGAATAATTAGTTTAATTTTCATTATTTTATTTTTTAAGGGGATTTTGAAAACAAACCTGGGTCAAAAAATACAATTGCCTTCAAGCAAGCATACTCATTGTCATCAATCTGGATTTCTTGAAATGGTCGGACAAGCTCATCGAGAACCCGATTGGCCACACGGCTGATCTCGACTTCACAGCTGTTTCTGTGAATGACGTAGTTGTTGCCTAGGAGAAAAAGAAAAAGGAACTACCTCCTTACCCAAATTGTCAGATATTTAAGGTTTTACAAACCAAGGTTTAGAAGGAGTTGTTAGGGCTTCATCTCTCAGTAGTGTTTAGTGATGTTCGACCTTAGGAGTACTTAAAGGATCAATAACAATGATAATGGGATCACATGCATTTTAACAACCTCACTTGCTGGTGATAGCACAAAAGTACAGACTAATACAAGCTAATAATTGACAGGGGAAAATCAAAATATAATGATTAGCTCTCCTCTTTGTCAGTCACCTATTAGTGTCTTACTCATTAATGAACATAATACAAATCCTAAAGAATCTTCCTTGCTTACAGTGGATTAAAAACAGCACTCCTTAGGTGCCCTAGGCCTAGGAAGGAATAAGAACTGTTGAGACAGTTTTAAGACGTCTGAATAAAGGAAGTTGATTTTTCAGAATGAGCATGTGTATTCTCATCAGTTCCCTCCAGGGATGGTACATTTCCTCTTCTGGGTTTCTTTAAATAGAGGTGAGATGACCACTGTAAGGAGCTGGACTTAAAGGAGTGCATCAATTGGCCAGAGAACTGAATCACCCAACCACCTCAAGATCTTTCTAAATTAGAAATTCTCTGGCTATAATATGATGAATGTGCATTATGGTTTCTGAAAGAAAGCTAAATTATTATTTTCTGTTTTTATAAAAAGCATAATATTCCAAATTCTTCCACTGTAGTCTAAGTCAACTGTTACATTTTGGACCTTGAATACCCCCCCAAAGGCCCGTGTATCAAAGGCTTGGTTGCCAGCTCATGGAAGGTGGTGGAACATTTAAAAAGTGGGGCCTAGTAGGAGGAAGTGAGGTCCTTGGGGTCATGCCCTTGAAGAGGATATGGGAATCTGTAGCCCCTTCCTGGCCACCATATGGTGAGCATCTCTTCTGTGCCATGCAGTGCATCTCTTCTGTGCTATACACTCTATACCAGTATGCTCTGCCTCACCAAATGCCCAAAGTGACGGGACCAATTGACTGAAAACTCCACAAACGTGTGAAACAAAATAAACCTTTTAAGCTGATTATCTCAGATCATAGTAATAGGAAGTTGATTAACAAGAATCTTCAGATTAACAGCCTCACTCTGTTTTTCCACCCAGCTTTATTGAGATATGGGAGATAAAAACATTGTATATATTTAAAGTATACTGTAATTTTGTATTTGGGTATCCATATACATTGGGAAATGATTATTATAATTAAGCTAATATATCCATCCTCTCACATAATTACCCTTTTCTGTGGGAATCTTAACCCCTTCTTACAAAAAGTTAACTATTCAGTGTAAAATAATTTAGAATTATATAACAGACGCTGTTTTCTAGGGAATATTGCATTCAGATCTATAGGGAGAACACTATTTGAGATGCTTATTAGGAATGCAGAAGTGTTTAACACAATTTCAGGGCATAGTCTGCAGTCATGTGATATGGTTTAGAATCCTGGCTCCCTCCTACCTTTATGCTCTTAGATAAACATAATCTGCCTCTGTTTTCTCATCAGCAAATTGGACTGAACAGAAGAGTACTTATTTAAATTATTAAATGAGAGCAGGTATGTATATGTAAAGTGCTTAGAGTAGAGCATTTATGTAATGAGCCCCCACTAAACCTTAGCTATTGTTACATTATGTTCCATTTATCTATCACAGAAAAATTAACTCATTTGCCCGATGAGGGAGCACAAATCAGAAAGCCCAACAACTGAGGAGGCCAAGGCAGAAGGATTGCAAATTGAAGGCCAGCCTCAGGAATTTAGCAAGACCCTGTCTCAAAATAAAAGAACAGCTGGGAATGTAGCCCTGTGGTTAAGCCCCTGGGTTCAATCCCAGTACTAAATAAACAAACTACTCAAATTCTCATTTTGCACAAAGCATGGAGAGGTAAATCTAACAAACATTAGAAGGATCTCAAAACTCAAAATCTAATTTATGAAATAAATCTAACAGAATCATGTTATATACATATATAAATGCACCAAAGAGAATATTTCCTTTATATATATGGAGAACATACCAATCAAAAATAAATAAAGAAAGAACTGAAAAGAAGATAAGAAGATAGAAAAGCAAAAGGGAAGAGGAAAGGAAGGAGGAATGGGTATTGAAATAAAATTCCTTGTATGTATATATTTATGTCAAAAGGAACCCAGGTACTATGTATAAACATGATGCTATCATAAAAAAATCTATTTTATGAGTTAAGTAAAGGTGGAGTATTGGAACAATTAATGAAAACAAATATTTCCATCTGAGTCTTTCTCCATCTTCGCCTGCCATCCTATTTTGCTTTTTATATCACTTTTATAAGAATTCTTCAAACATTCCATCAAACCTTTTTCCCTGATTATTTTATAGTATATTAGGGGCAATGAGATCCTAGTGGTTAATCACATTAGAGTATAAAACAGTTACTAAGCAAACAATGAAAGAGTGTGAAAATACACTGGAACTTCGCAGGTAGTCATTTAAATCACTAATTCTTTGCTCTGCTGAGACTTAACACACCTCAATATTATATTTATTGAACAACATCTCCATTTCATTTTTAAATGTTAATGGTCCCTGATCATTTCACTGTTCTCTGAACTTACACACAATCAAGGCAAGAAAGTATAAAGCTGAGTGAGGACAAAATCAATTAAATCCAACCTGTGAAGCAAGAGTACCATTGACAGTGTCTGTGAATTCTTGGGACATATAGAATAGATCCTGCATATTACCTGAAGGATGAAATGTGCATGATTTCTTCTTAAATTAAAAAAATATGTATATATACACTTACCCAAAAGCAAAATATCTTTATACATCATGGATCTTTTCGTAGCTCCAAGCAGTAAGTGCTCCCCTGCATGAGCTCTCAACAGGGCCACCTTAATGAAAAATTCCAAGTTTAACAATTAATTATAAAATATAATGATTAAAAGATGGCATAATATGAGTCTGATTAAGTTTCAACCGTTCTTTAAGCATGGGGCTTTTTTTCATTTTGTTCTAATAAAATATAATATTCACAGGCACTTGATATCAGTAATCCTTCTAGTTTTCTACCCTAGTATGTCAATAGAATGTATTTCTGAAATTTCTAAAAGGACTTAACAAGTGACACAATGGCATGAGAAAAAAATCAGATCAGTTCACTGTTTTGGAGGGAAACAGAATCAGGCTAGAGCTCAGATCTCAGCTTGACCACTCAGGACCCTTTAACCTTGGTGAGGTCCACCTGTATGTTTGGAACTCATTTGATTTCATCTGTAAAGTGGAGGTGGAGATAAAGCATCTCAGAGTTTGCTCATGGTGACTAAGGTATAAATTTATGTAAAACATAATCTTCTGCACGTAATAAACTAAACAAAAGCAAAGCGAGGACTTGTAGTAAAGAAAAGATAGAGATCTGGGTACTGCCAACTTCCAGGTTGAGCTTCTGATTCTGTGCATTAAGTTCTACAATGAGCTTCATTCCTATACTCAGCTGCAGGTGTGGGCACCACCACAAGGAAGAATAGGAAGCATTTCAAATGCAATGCCTACCAACGTCAGGTTCTCTGATGTTTTAATCAATTTCGTGCAAAATGTTTGTTTACATCCAAAAAGGACTCTTAACTATACAGAAAATCTTAGTGCTGCTTCTCAAAATATAAACCAAGTACATCCACTGCTTTCAGGAGTCCAGGCTCTTGTCATTTGTGGCCTGGACCATCCACATTCAGTAGGTATTTTTGCTTTCCTTCTGGGTTCTCCATTATACATCCTTCTACATCATCCTTCAAAGTGATACTTTTAGAATAGTAACCTCTTAATATCATCCCTCCGCTGAAAACTCTTGAATGGTTTCTTATTGTTCTTAGGATACAATCCAAACTCTCCAATCCTGGCTTCCTAGATGATGGAAGAAATAGGGGAGGTTCCATGTTCTGCCTCTGATCTCCATATTTCTGACTTTATCTTGAAACACTCCTTGTTCACATTGTTCCTGCCTGACTCACAACCCTTTTGCATGCTGTTCCAGGACCCAGTATTCTTTCTGCTTGGATCTCAATGTGCCTGACCCCTTGTGAACCAGCTCTCAGGAAATATCTTCTCGGATCCTCACTATAAAGTATCTCTTTTCATCCCCAGTCATTTTCTAACAACTCATTCTATGTCATTTTATAGCATTTTATAGAACTTTCCCCACCTAGAATTAACTTACTCATAATTTGTTTATTTTTTATTGTCTGTCTCTCCCAAATAAAAAACAAACTTTATGAGACTAGTAAGGCAATCTGTATTTTCTTGGCATATTACCCATAGCTCCTAAAACTGCACAAGAGTCTCTTAATAAATATTCACTGGATAAATTTAAGGAATGAGCTTAACAAATCTAGGGTTTAGTTTCAGAAACTGTGGAGATAACACCTTATACCACAGAACTCCCTAGAGAATTAAATGAAATAATGTGATTGATAATGTATCTTAAAGCTAAATCCACAGAACCTTAACCACACCACAATACACATTCACTAAACCATGGCTATTAATTTTATACTGTTAATATTAAGTGTCAGTTAGCAAACAAAACCCATTTTTGACTGGTTACTGGATTTCAATTTCCCAGTATTTGAATCATTGTCTTCATACAAAAGTCAGCAACTTTTAAACAAGAATGGTAATAAAAGTATAAAGCTGATAAATAATGTAACCTTACTTATATTGCTTGGGGTGAGACTAGTAGGTTTTAGCAATTTAGTATTATTCATTCTGGAATAACTTTCTCAGTCAAGCTATCTTTATGACATGTCAATAACAGTGACTCATTCCAGGAAAGCAGTTACAGAACATTTTAAGAATTATTTCAGATTTCACAGTATTTTTTTTTCTTTGTAACCAGGTGAAATGTTCTTTTAGAAATATAACATCTCACTTCCTAGGATAATTTTTGTTCTCTGTGTAAATATTTTGCATTGTTTTTACACAATCATTCCCCTCCCCTTTATTATTTCTTTGTTTTTATGTATCCAAGATAAAGAACATTGGTCAAAAGGTGTATAAATATAACTGGGTATAACACTTAACATGATTGTTTTTCTCAATGTGATAAGAAAGGAAACTTTTAAATGATTTTCATCTATTGAAAAAATACATCCTACTTAGTACAAAGAATTCAAAATGAATCTGAAACAAACTAAACTTCATAGACTTATTAGGAAATCCAAGCTCTTAATTTATTAAAATATCTCAACATATACAAAAATATAACAGTGCATGTATCAGGAAAAGATGACTGTGTCTAATTTTTATTATTTCTCTAGACTTCAGATCATGAATCTGTAGACTTTTTTCCATAACTGTAATTTTTATATAATAAATGCTAGAAGAAAATTAGCAGCACAAAGGACAAAACTTACACTTTCATTGTATAAAGCATCACAAAGATATCAACATATCCTGTTGGGTTTCTGTTTAGGACTGGCCAGGTATTTCTGAGGGATTTTATGTGGGATCTTGGGGAAACCCAAGATACCACAATTTGCCTTTTACCCCTGGACATTTGCTCTTCTAATACCTTGACTCAAAAATGATAGTTATTTGCTGGTCTTTCTCCCTTACATAAGCTCTTGAAACTCCAAGAGGTTAGAACCGTGTTTTGATCAACTCTTATCCAATCAATAAGTCTGCAAGACCTCTAAAACAGAAGTCAAACAGTAATGCCTCTGTATAGAACAAGAAGGGGAAAAGATAAGAAGACCAATCCTTTTCTCACAAGGTAATTTCTCCATTGCCTAATATAGTAAATGTGTTACAAATGGGATTCAAGGGGCACAAAACTAAGGAATTTTCAAAATCTGTTTTAAAACAGTCGCAATTTCTTCAATTTATACCTGGTCATCCAGTGGTAACTCACAGAAGGCAGGAATATATTTAGCCCATTCCACCAAGACTAAAAGCTGCTGTTTCATAGATTCGCAGACATCACCAATACTTGCAATTTTCTTAACATTTATGTCAGTGCTGACCCCAGGGCTTGAGGCTGAGATCTGGCATTAAGAAGAACATTATATTCACTTATCATTTAAAATAATACATAGCACTATTTCCCTGTTTCCCCATCACTGTGTGAAGTAAACACCACTGAAGCAGGCAATATCATTGTCACAGGATCTTGAAATGTATTAAACATTCTTTAATTTAGAAATAAAATACATATCCATATCCGTTTTCAAGTAAAACTGAAAGCAGTCAATAGATGTCACCACACTCTGACAGCAGTATCTTATTTTAAAAGCCAAATGTTTCAACTAAGTGATCACAATTTTGGGGGAGTTTCACACTTCAATAGGCTGCATAAAGAGATAGGTAATGTCCACATGAAATATGCTTTGTGATTTTATTTTTAACTAAAATTAAAATTCCATTAAGGAAGTCCATCTTCAATTTGTTGATCTTTACTCAGAATACATTTATTAGGTGGATAAAGTTTACCAAATTGGGAAGAAAAGATTTAGACAAGAAACCAGAAATACTTGTGATGCTGCATTAAACAAAAGCCCATCAAAATAAAACTAAGGAAACCAAAATCTGATTCAACTATGTTGCAGAGCTTAACATATAATGGTACATTTTTAAAACTGCAAATAATAGGAATAACACAAATACAAATACGTGGTGTTAAAAAGTGATTTAAAATACTATCTAAAAGTTTTTGTGAACTTTGTTTTTGAACATGAATCTGTGTGTGTCTTCATGTACCTGGCACTTCCTCACAGCACCCCCTTAAGCCATTCTGTAAATGCTTTATTGGACCATCAAGTAATCTTCAAGTAATAATGATGATAATGGGAATGTCAACCTCATCATATTACCTTTGTGTTATCAAAAACGAAAGTAGCCTCATTGACTCTTTATGAGAACTGATTACTTACCTATTTCATAATTTGCTTTATAATAGAAAAATATTATTTTTACTTTATAATAGAAAAATATTATTAATGTTTCTAGTAGGGGCAATGCTAAAACAAACTTTCTTTAAAGGATTTCCTCACTGGATCTTTAAGAGGTTTATTTTTATGCATGTAACTAATTATTTTAAAAATTTTAAACCTGATATTATAGAAACTTAAAATAATAAAGTTGTGTTCCCTCTGTGCTTTCTGAATTCTGGGTCTGCATTTAAATACCTGTTTCCATAGCAGACGTCAAGGTGACTTCCTAAGTTGAGAAATCATCTTCAGAGAAAGAAGCCCTAATGACAAGTCTTCACTGTGCTTCCCAAAAGTTATAGCAACTGATTTTACAGAATCAACCAATAGTAAAAAATACTTCTTCCCCCTCAACATTGTGGTATGCAGTAATAACTTTTTTTAGGTACCAGAGATTGAACCCAGGGGCACTTAACCACTGAACAACATCCCCAGCCCTTTTCATGATTTATTTTGAGACAGGGCCTTGCTAAGTTGCATGGGGCCTAGATAACTTGCTGAGGTTAGCTTTCAACTTGCTATCCTCCTGCCTCTTCCTCCAGTGCCACTGGGATTACAGGCATGTGCCACTGCACTTGGCCATTAGAAACTATTAATCAACCTTATAAACAAACTCTTTTCTTCCCTCGAACAATCTTAAACTGAAATTTATTTGCTTGTTCTTTTTATAATAGGGTCTTGTTCCAAAAAAAAAAAAAAAAAAAAAGGTCAAAATCAAATCAGCAGTCCCCCGAATGTTTACAAAGTAAAAGCCTTAGACTTGTGTAGGTGTGATTTACTTTAGACATAAGCACATTCAGATGAACTTGGATTATTTTAGCACAATGCTAATGTGCAAATAGACATTTCATTCTATTACACAAAGCTAGATACTGGGATGCAGTGCGTACCTGGCGAGACCGAATTTCAGCTTGTGACAGTGTGTTTATGGAGGGGATATTGCTGCCATCGAATGTGCTTCTTCTGGTGCTTATTCTATCACGTTCATTTTGCACAGCTAAGACAGAAAATGCAGAATATTACTGGTTAAATCTCTTTAAGATGTTTCATGATATACAGTTTGAAATAAAAAAAATACAAAAGAAAAAAAAAGCAAGAAATAGTCTTTCTAAAAGACCATGGTGATAGAAAGTTGAACTTTTCATTCTGTACCATTTTCAAAAGTTGGAGTAGCCAGGGGCTTGTCTTTGTCACTAGAGCTCATAAAATACTGTTTGGGACTTCATGATGGCAAGCATGCTATAAAGTGTTGGTTAACCTGTTTTGTCAGGTTAAGTTTTTGATAGAAACTATACACTAACTAGAGGAAGAATGTCACCTATGAGATTGACCAGGTCAAAGATAAGAGTGTATTTTTTGCTCCCAGAAGATATGAGTCATCAATTTTGAAATTCTATTTTCTTTTTCCTAAGCACTACCAGAATAGAAAGTAAATTTATTTTAGTTTAGATGATTTTAAGGTTGCAATATTATGATCCCTTATGAAATACTGTCATTGAGATAATTTACAGGTGTTAATTAAAAAAATAAAATAAGACAAAAAAGCTGTATGAGTCTGTGGAATCTCCTGAAAAGACTAAAGTTTGAGTGACAGCTTTTTGGGAAAAAAAAAAAAAGTCTCTACAGAAGAGGTAGAATTGCATCCTTTTTTCAGAAGGGAAAGGAATAAAAATGTATTTCTCCAAATTCCTTGCTGAAATTACATTTTTAAATATAAAGAAGAGCCAGAAGGGGAGAATTAGCTTATATATTTGTATAAATACTCATATAAACAACAAAACAAGTCAAATGTCAAGATAAATTTTAAAAGTTGGAAGGCAAAATTATTTTTCATTTATCAATGAAAAATAATTATCAAAGAGAAAAACACAACAGCTTAGTGTACCAAACTGTTTAGGTTAATGCTCTAGTCTGTTCTGTTGGAAAGATAGACTGTTAAACTATAAAAATTTTGGCAATTATTATTTTATTATAGAAATACACCAAAGTCTTGTAACAGAGACTCTAAACTTACTATTAATTATGAAGTCCATTAAGTTAAAAGAAAAAATACTGGACTTTTTCACTTTATGAGAGAGTAAGTAGTCTTTAAGTTGGAGTGATTTATTAATATTTTATTTTAATATCACATTTACTGATAGCTTACTGGAGTTTTTGTGTTGTTTTATTTTTTCCTTACCAGAGAGTTATTGATTTTCAACCTGAACTGACTCATTCGGAAATGATTTTGTAGAAATAAAAAAATTAAGATGTTTGTTATGTTTTTTTTAAATTTCATTTACATGATCATGTTTAACCCATGAGCTCCATCCTCAGTCTCTTTTTTATGTTTAATTTTAATTTGTTATATATGACAACAGAATGCATTACAATTCATATTACACATATAGAGCACAATTTTTCATACTTCTGGTTGTACACAAAGTAGAGTCACATCCTTTGTGTCTTCATACATGTACTTAGGGTAATGATAACCATTGCATTCCACCATCTTTCCTATCCCTATGCCCCTCCCAGTCTTTCTTATTTTTTATTGTGAGACAAGGTCTCACGAAGTTGCTTAGGGACTTGCTAAGTTGCTGAGGCTGACTTTGAGCTTGCAATCCTCTGGGCTCAGCCTCCTGAGTCACTGAGATTCTAGGCCTGCACCACCATACCTGGCTGATAATCCAATATTTAAAAAAAATAAGTTAATTTCATAAATTGTAAAATTATTCATAAAGGAAATATAAAACTGTTATTTGTTTACAATTTAGTAGAGGTAAAGTTTGGGGATCAAGCAGGAATGGAGGGAGGCAATTGACAAAGTATGTAATTAATCCCATAAACTACCCAATAGAGCTCTTAGGACATAACAATGTCATTTTTAAAATGAAAAATTGTTTTTGCTTTAATGTTATAAACTTTTTTTTTTTTGGTCTTCTTTTAAGATTAGCAACTTGAGAAATGCTAATGGATTTTTTTTTTTTACAGTTTTAAAATACTGAGAGATAAAGGAAAAACTAGCTATGTTCAAAATAAATTTGATGTATTTTAACTTCTTTAGTATACTGATTTCATTCAATTTTATTTTTCAGCACATTATATACTGTGAACAATGGCTTATTATAGAGACAGGCATGTAGCAAAACTAAAAGGAATAAACCCTTGTAGCTTTTATGCCTGCCAGTGTTTAGAATGTGCTCATCACATTTGTGTCTAAACTACCCATGTTCAGAATGTACCAGAATATAATCAGATTGTTTAATATGTTCAAAATGAACTTAATATATACCATATAATAGTAAATACCTTATCAATCTATTGTCTCTGTCCCTTGACAGAATATAAACTCTCTAAAAGGGAGGATCATTTTGTCTATTTTGTTTAGTGCCAAAACCTCAACACCTAGAACAGTGATTGGGAAATAGTGTTCAATAGCTATTTGTTAGATGGATGAACATATGAAAAAGTAGATGTTCCATTAATGTTCATGAAATGAATAAAGATATTTGATTATTATTAAGGATAAAAATGTGTTTAAAATATATTTATAAATTCAATCTATTCATAGATTTTGCAATTTATCTTTTGAACTGGATATTTGAATGCTGTTTGGACAATAATTTTGTTGGCCACGTAGCATAGTGTTGGGGAGAATTATGTCAGTAGTCAGATAATCAATCACAAGATAAAGACTGGCTCCACCACTTACAAGCTGGGTATCGTGGGCTAAATACTTTAACTCAAAGAACTCTTTCACAGATTCTTCACTACTATATTGAGGAAAATCAGAATAAAGTAAAAAGGTTATTGTAATCAATGAGAATATTTGTGCCTTCCACTTTTCATCAATAATGTTAACTATCATCATCATCACTATTTTTTACCTTCTTTTTTCATTCCTGCTCGAAAACACTTTCTTAATCGACAGTATCTACATTGATTCCTTTTGTCCTTGTCAACAACACATTGGCGACTGAACCTATAACATCAAACATAGATGTTAGCTTACAGCAAACTATCATTTGTCAAAAAATAAAATATACAAACAAATAGATTTTAAATAAGTATAATCTAATGTTGCTCAACAGAAAGAAGGTATAAGACAATTAACTGTTTCCAGGCTCATGATCAGCATGTACATGGAAATATAAGCCTCACCTCTCACACAGTCTTTATAATAAAATAAAACTGAGTGACTAAGATTTACCCAGTGTACATAATCATTTCTATCATGAGTCATGAAAGTTCAATCTAGTTTTAGACATCTTCTGATGTAAATTCTAGTTGCTTACTGCTAAGTGGCTTCAATGTGAGACAGAATGTATCAGAACTCCATTCGCCTACACTTTTGTACTTTTTCTCCTTTTAAACATTCTTCAACTAATTTTCAATGACCTCACTTCCAACTGAAATCTATACTAAATGCCAAATTACACAGCTGGGTATGCAGCTCACTGGAAGGACATGAGGCTCTGGGTTTAATTCCCATCAGCTGGAGAGTCAAGTTGCAAATCAAAAGACAATTGACAACATCACTGAGAATGTAATTTCTGCATAAGGATGTATCACTTCACACACATTAGGAAAAAAAACAAAAAACAAAAAACAGGCAGTCCGGTGTTGGTGGGGATTTGGGAAAACTTAGAATCGTCACATATTCCTACTTACAATATTAAATGCTGCTGCTGCTGCTTAGAAAGAAAGAAAGCTTGGCATTTTCTCACAAATTAAACATAGAGCTGACATCTGAGACAGTGATTCCACACTAGGGACGTAACAAAATTTCTGTCTGTGTCAGAATTATTCATAAGAGCCAAAAGCGGAGAGATATGCAGATGAATAAAACGTGGTATATCCATACAATTGAATCTTACCATTTGTCAATAAATAGAAATAAGTTCTGATACTTATTACAACATTTCTAATTTAAATAAAGCAAGTCAGATTCAAGAGGACACATATTTTATGATTTCATATACATGAAATGGTGTACCTGGGCGTGGCAGCACACAACTGTAATGCCAGAGACTTGGGAGACTGAGGCAGGAGGATCACAAGTTCAAGACCAGCCTCAGCAACCTAGCAAGGCCCTAAGCAACTTAGTGACACCCTATCTCTAAATAAAAAAAGAACAAGGCCTGGGTAATGTAGTTCAGTGCTCAAGCACCCCTGGGTTCCACCCCTGGTACCAAAAGAAAGGAAAAGAGAAAAGTTCAGAAGAGGATTATTAATCTTTTAAGTAAGATTAGTAATTACCTCATATTGTTGAAAAAGGAGCTGGGGCAATTGGGAAGTTATTTCTAAAGGTTCTTCATAGGGTATGAAAATGTTCTAAATTGATTGTTTTGATGGTCACACAAATCTGAATATGCTAAAAAAACTGTATTATGTACTTAAAAATATATATAGTCTGTTCTAAAACTAGTTTGCCATTCACTGTTGGTAGAACTTGAGGATATTAAATGATATCAATCTACATTTGTAAAATGGGGCAAAGGTCTTGCCTTGAAAGAATGTTGTGTGAATGTACTTCAGAGTTTGGGGCACATGTTAATCATATAATAAACAATAACATTTCTTCAAAACTCTTATCCATAGGCACTGATATATACTGATCTTTTAAAGTTGATTAGTAAATGATGAGAATAAAGTAATGCATTTTATTACATATAAATTTTTTCTTTAAAATACATGGGTGACCACTTAAAATAGAATGAGATGTTAAAGACTACTTCAAATGAGCTAAAGGAGAGATGTGTATTCAGAGTGAGGAAAAACCTTGTTCATTTTAAATGAGAGTTGAGAAGACTAAGGAGAGAGGATCTGATGGCTAAAAATCACAAGAAGGAAAACATAGCCAATCAACACTAAATTAGTAGAAAAATTGAATAAACCTATTATTAAGTACCTATGGTATATGGAAACGTGGTATAGAGATTAAACAGAGGAATACTACCTTTCTCTTCCATTCAAGAAAATTATAATCCAATAGAACACACAGAAATTTATAAGTAGCCATTATCAAAAGCATCATGTGAGAAGTATTGAAATAGGAGTTTGAAGTGCTTTAGGAATGACAGTCTGGCTTTCTGTGTGATGGAACAGTCAGAGAGCCTGGAGGTGGAATTTCTGAATCTCAGGAACTGCATCAATCTCAGGTTAAAAACGCTTTATGCTCCTAATATAGAAGCACCAACATAACTATTTTCTACGTGGAAAATCATAGTATTTGCTTAATACCAAAACATGTAAATGGGGCTATGTTGGCAGCAGCATGCATTATGCTTAGGAGCAAGAAGTTAAACTGTACTTGTGACTAGGATAGTTTCTAAACTTCTAAAAGCCGCTTCGGGAGCAGTTCTTTCCTACTATCTCCATACAGACCCCGTGAAAATCCCAAAGCTCTTGTCTTGGTCCTCTCGGCTTCTTAAAATCTGTTCTTGGATTTAGGTGTCTGAATTGACATTTTTTCATATATGTACATTACACTTTTAACAGACCACCTAATTCCAAAAAAAAAGTCTATGTGTTGTTTTGCTTTTATTTTAGATGTTAATTACTCAGGAGTGCTCAATAATTAAGGTAATCCTACGGAAAATGTTTACAATGGAGGAAATTTATTTACGTTTTACTTCCAGAATTTTTATGTCTACATAAGCAAAACCCATGTCAATACATATTTTTGTTTATTTACCAAGCTTTAAAAGTGAATAACTGATATATCTTTTAGCTGTTAGCCTAGATCAAACTTTCATGAAAAAAAATTTGTAGGGAATCCTAGAAAGATATTTCAGGATTTGGCTATTCATATTAACTTTTATTACAGCCTGGAAAATGAAATGACATCTTGGAAGAAGGCTAACTTCTTCTTAAATGACCATTTTCTTAAAACAATGTAAAAATGCTAACATCCTTTTCATTGACAAAGCAAATACAGATTTTCTTCTGTTATTGATTTTGGTCAGTAGCCCATATTCAACTTAGATATAATATGCTTTCAAGAACTGTCATATTGCCAGGCTCAGTGGCACATGATTATAATCCCAATTGCTCAGAGGCTGAGACAGTCAGCCTCAGCACAAGAGAGGTATTAAGCAACTTAGTGAGACCCTGTCTCTAAAGAAAACACAAAATAGAGATGGGGATGTGGCTCAATGGTCAGGAGCCCCTGCGTTCCATCTCCAGTCCTCCCCCACATGCACAAAGAAAGCAATGTCATATCAATAAGGATGCAATAATTAAACCTAACCTGTGTTGTGATATTGACAAGAAAACATTTAAAAAAAAAAAACTATGTGTGTCACATAAAATGTAAGTAAGTAAGCTTTAGACAAGACATTTAAATTCAATGTCACAAAAAAAGGTAGCATGAGAAACAAGTTTAAATTTTAGAATTGAAAATTAAATTTTATTCACGGACACCAACCATGTCCAAAATCATCTGTACTTTTAAAATTTTTGTTTTAAAAGCTCCAAGATGTAGTGTAACACTAAAAAGAAAATCAACATAGGGAGAAATAAACACACTGAGAAACCATTTAAGTACAGATTTTTAAAATGTATAGTGGTATACAAGCATGGTAAAACAATAAAGAGACACACGGAAAAGATCAACATCAAATTCCAGATGGTAGGTACCTCAGGGAGTCTAGGTAGAAAGACAAAGTGGGAGGTAGCCATTGGAAGATTCAGCTATTTTGGTCTAAAATGGGTGGTAGGTGGATTATTTATTTATTTATATCTTTTTAACTCTAATCTGTTTCATAAAAGAAGAACCACCTGTATACATACCCCCCATACACTCTTTCATTGCCAGGTAGAATTTTTCTACCTAGAGGTACAGATATAAGGAAGCTCTAAATATTTTTTTTTCTTTTTGCTTTTATTTTTTCAGGGTGGGAGGTACTAGGGATTCAACCCAGGGAAACTTTACCACTGAACTCTACCCCCAGATCTTCTTATTTTTTTATTTGGAGATAGGGTCTCCCTGAGTTACTTAGGGCCTTGATAAATTGCTGAGGCTGGCTTTGAACTCACAATCCTCCTGCCTCAGCCTCCAGAGCCAGTGGGATTACAGGAGTGCACCACTGCACTTGGCTCTTCCCTTACTTTTTACGTGCTATTTCAAACATCTCAAAAGATCATTTTCCTTAATGGAGCATGTGAAGTACCTGCAGGAATAAACATGACTCTTGCGTATGCTGCGTCGAAAGAAGCCCTTGCACCCGTCACAGCTCGATGCCCCATAGTGTTTTCCTGTTGCTCTGTCCCCACATATCGCACACAGACAGTTGACACCCACACCGTTGTCTGTGGTATTCATACTTGTTGTCTCGGGGGCAGAACTATCTGTTAAAAAAAAAAATGAAGAATAGATTTAGAGTTAGTACTGAATATTCTTGATTAAATTGCTCTAAAAATTATACATGGGCCCCAAAGAGTCCATTTCTTGACTTGCTGGAATCTTTAAATCAGGGCTTTTCTTTTAAACTCTGGCTGGTTCTTTCATAACTCCCATCTCATATTTCTGACCATTAGATTTTGGGAATCCATGTGGTTCAGTCCCCCTGTTATACTTTTTCCCAAAGGAAACTTATACAGTTGCATGACATTAAAAATCATCTGTATAATGGGGAAAAAAATCTTTAAATATTGTTTCTAATCTGATCTCTCCTTTGGAAATCAGCCTGAAATGCTCAAGTACCTATTCAATATTTTCACTTTGAAGTCAAATAAAAATCATAAATTAATGTATCAAAAACTAGAACTTTGATTTATTTTTCCACCTGTAGAACTTGTTCTTTCTTCAATCTTCCTTATATAAGCCAATGGTTCCATCTAGTCCCTGGCGCCAAAACTTGAGAGTCATCCTTGCATCCTTTTGGTCATCCTTGCTCTCTAACTCAGTAGTAAATTAATACTTGAAATACACATTTATTCCAAAGATTTCCACCTTTATCCAATTGATCATAATCCTTCCCATGGACTTCTGCAACACCTTCCCATCTAACTTCCCTGCTTCTCTTAAATTTTTTTTAAATTATAATTTGTTATATATGGCAGCAGAATACATTAAAATTCATATTACATATATAGAGCACAATTTTTTATATCCCTGGTTGTATACAAAGTATATTCAGACCATTCTTGTCTTCATGCATGTACTTCGGGTAATGATGTCCATCTCACTTCCCCTTCTTTTTGACCCTCTTGCCCCCTCCCTTCCCCTCCTTCCCCTTTGCCCTATCTAGAGTTTGTCTAATCTTTCCATAGTCCCCCACCCAACCCTACTACAAATCAGCCTCCTTTTAGAAGAGAAAACATTAGGTATTTGGTTTTGGGGATTGGCTAACTACACTTTGCATCCATTTACCTGCAAATGCCATGATTTTATTCTCTTTTATTGCTGAATAATATTCCATTGTGTACATATACCACATTTTCTTTATCCATTCATCTACTGAAGGGTATCTAGAGTGTTCTACAGTTTAGCTATTGTGAATTATGCTGCAATAAACATTGATGTGGCTGTATCCTTGTAGCATGCTGTTTGTAAGTCCTTTGGGTATAGACGGAGGAGTGGGATAGCTGGGTCAAAAGGTGATTTCATTCCCAGTTTTCCAAAGAATCTCCACACTGCTCTCCATATTGACTGCACCATTTTGCAGTCCCACCAGCAATGTATGAGTGTGGCTTTTTCCCCCACATCCTCACCAACACTTACTGTTGTTTGTATTCTAACTTCCTTGCTTTTAAGCTTGCTCCCCCATCTGTTTATTACCCCAAAGCCACCCAAGAGATCTTGACATAAGAAATCCATACCATGTCATTCTTCTGTGTCTAACCCACCATGATGTGTTACTAGATAGAATAAATCCTATGCCCTTAACTAGAGCCTGTAAAATACTGCATGATAAAATTCCCTGCCTTTGCCAACCCCACCTCTCTGATCCCAGTGTTTGGTATCACTTTTCATCCTGTTTACTATTCTTCAGCAGTGTTACCATTTTTTGTTTGTTTCTTGAAGCCCTAATTTGACCTTGGAACTTTTTTACACTTGTCTGGAAGGAAATTTCTTCTGTAAGACTTTAAAAAGTTACCTCTCATCTACCCTTCAAGTAGAACTTGGAGCTTGGCTATTATTATTATTTTTATAGAAATGCCCTTGCCTAAAATTATATTATGTATTGGTTTGCTCATTTGTAACCCATCTTTATGCACAGAATATAAACTTCAAGATGTCAGAGAATTTATCTGTTTTCCAGCTCTTAGAATTGTGCCAGCATTTACAGGACATCTAATGTATAGTTGTTTTTTTTTTTTTGGGGGGGTGCATGATATTGGGAATTGAACCCTGGGTTTTGTGCATGCTAGGCAAGCACTCTACCAACTGAGCTATACCCCCAGCTCCCTAATGTATAGTTTTGTAAGAACAGACATTAAAAATAAATATGTAGTAAGTAAATATATTTTAATGAGTTGATATTGTTGAATGCATCTTTAAAATCTGTATGTACTCAAAATATATTAACTATAAGGGAATATATTCCAAGTACAGTAGCACATGCCTCTAATTCCAGCTACTCAGAAGACTGAAAAAGGAGGAGTATCATCATTTCAGGGATCACTTGTGCAACTTAGCAAGACTCTATCTCAGAAAACAAAACAAAACAAAATCTGGAGGCTATGGAAGGAGGATCTCAAGTTCAAATCTTACCTCAGCAACTTAGCGAGGCCCTAAGCAACTTTATGAGTCCCTGTCTCAAGATAAACAATATTTTTAAATAGGTCATATGATGTGGTTCAGTGGTTAAGTGCCCCTGGTTCAATACTTGGCAGATTGCATCCCCCCAAAATAGAAGAGGCTAAGTGGCTCAGGAGGATCATGAGTTCAAAGCCAGCCTCAGCAAAAGCAAGGTACTAAGATACTCAGTGGAACTCTGTCTCTAAATAAAATATTAAAAAAAGGCTAGGGATGTGGCTCAGTGGTTGAGTGCCCCTGAGGTACCCATCCCCCACAAAAAAAAAACAGGCTAAGATATAGCTCAGAAGTAAAATTCTCCTGGATTCAGTCCCCAGTACCCTCCACATGTAGTATATTAAAATTTTAATTTACCATAAATTATATAATAATAAAGAACTCATTATATCTCTATTTAATATAAAAAAAGTAAAATTAAAGGTTGTCATATCCCAGTTACACCCCATGACATCACATTTATTCTACTTACTAATGCTTCAGAGTAAACTGCTATATATAATTTCATAAAGTCATAAAAAAACTTTAATGGGAATATATTTAAGGTTCATCATCCTACACTATAGAACTAAAATGCAAAGAATTTTTCTTTTAGTAACATTAACAAGAACATTAGCCATATGGAAGTCAAAGTGTTTAAAATTGGTTATATTCTAAATATTAGGTGGAAATATTAAAAACAAATTTAATCCTAAGTTTAGCAATAGTTGCATATAATTGACAGTTATTATAAACAAATTAAATAATAATTGAAAAATAGCCATACAATTTAGTTATTATAGCATACATTGGTAAATTCTTATAGTAAATCTGTTGGTATCATTTAGGAAGCTAGAGTCATTTTTTAAAGTCATGATTCTATTGAGAAATTCTATGAAATACGTCTACTCAAAATAATTACTTCCTAAGGGTTGAACAGTAGGTTCATTTTAACTCTATTTGTGCTTAAATTTCAGAATTCATCTTTTGACATTTTTTTTAAACCTCCCTGTTAAAAAGGAAATATAACTGGAATTTGCTTACTGGCAATATAACCAGAACATGTGTCATAAAAATTGTACATTAAAGTAGAATATTAGGATACTTTTAATATAAATGATTTCTCAATCCTGACCTAAACACATATGCACACATACACACACACAAAAAAAATTCCAAAGTATACACAATTACAAGATATTAGAAGTTCTAACAATTACAGTCTGTCTTGGACGAGACTTATACTTGGGGGAAAAATCCAAATTCAAAGACAATAGCAAACTGTATTATGCAAAGACAATTCATGTCTTATTTAAAGTTAAAATGTTACAGTAGATAAATACCAAGAGCTTTGTGTGGCTAAACATTAGCCTGTCAAGTGAGGTTATAATATAAACCTCTATTTCTTTTCATATTTCTGTTCAACACAAAAGCTTGACAGTGATTTTAAATGTAGTTTCTCCTCAGCAGCAACCAAAAACTGGAATAATGAAAGGAGGAGGCAATCAGTAAAAGTATTCAGTGTTCTATAGAAACTCTGTTCCATAAGTCATTCTAAATATTGCATAGAAAATATTTTTTCACAGCCAATCTGTCAATGTTATTTATTACTGTGATTTACAGCAAATAAAGTATCTACTGAAACTACTCCTTTTACCTCTCTAACTAGCCCATGACAGAATTCTGAGGTTACTTTATTACACAAAACTGGATTTTTCTACTTGTAACATAAAATAGCCATAGCATTATTAATTTAAATTTTGTAATGAAGTGCAAAAACTCAGATTTGTATCCTTAAAAAAGGCTTGCCTTGATTTCTCCAGCAATAAAACCCTGAGCCACCATCTTTGGGAAGCTCAACTTCACTTCTCCCTGCTATGTTTACTTTTTCATAGATCTATAAGCAGATGAGCACTCACCATTTGAATTATATAAAATCTGCATCGTTTCAAATTCCAAAGTGGTATAATTTGGGTCCAAAACTTCACTGTAATTTCCCACGTCCATGTCCAGAATCGGTTCTGATATCCTCATCATCGACTGAGAGACACACATACAAGTGGCACCTCAAGCCCAGAAAAACCCAGTGTTTTGCTTTCAATCTGAGAGTGATAATCCAGAGCTAAGTGTAACTGAGTGACTTAAGAGCTGCAGTGGGAGGGGCTGTAAAACTGTAACCATCCTGCAACAGGTCATATTTTACCTCTTTCTTGTTTTATGGCATATGAGAGCAACTCCTTGCGATAATCTTGGAATGCTTCATGGAATTGCCTTATCTGAAGTGCTCAGTGAACTAACATGATTTTCTAAATTGATTTCCAGTAGACAATAAATGAGGTCATTAAGAGAAGGATTAAACAGAAAAGGGAATCTCTCAGGTTTGAAGCAGCAATTATAATGTGAAGTAGCCCATTTCAGGGGCTTGGAACCATCCATATACCACATATTTTGAAAGGCAAAATTTACTGTTATAAAATTGATGTGTCAAGACTATAAATGAAGACTGAACAGTTTCAAGCTTTCTTACATGTACAATAAAACTTTATTTTGTAGGAAAATAAATTTGTAATTTGTAATGACAGGGATTTATGGTACATTCCAGTAGCTTCCTGGGGAGATTCCTAATATAATAGTCTCTGTCAGTTTCTGGGGTTTTGTGTTTTCACATTTGTAAATCTCCCATAGTTAGAGCAGTGTATTTTAGTTATTAAATTAATAATTGCTAAATAAGGAAGATTTCCTTCTTTTATCATTTTCTGATGCTTGTCACATTACTAGGCATTAACTGAAGTAAAATTGTCCCTAACATGTGCATTTACACATACCTATCATCAATCTTCATCAATATAACATGTATGTCTTTTATGTATATTTATGGCATTTAGAGTTTGGGGAATGTTTAGATGATGGGATTCAATGAGCATATTTTATTGACATGAAAATACATGCATTGACATAATCTTCAAAGAAAGAATTGTAGTACCATTTACATTATAAATTCGAGAATTCATTTTTCTACATTGGTGAAGATTAAAACAAAGTAATTCTTCTTAATCAATATCTTATATTAATGAAATTTGTGAATATACTGTCTTAGATATTATTATAGTTTTCATCCAGAAAAGCTATCCTAATATAAATTCAAAATCATGTTCCATGTCAAGGACCTTGAAGAAAACCTTAGCTAAAATTTACTAAATCAAACAGTGATCATTGGAACAGTCCTTTTGCTCTCATGTTCTGTATACTTTTACTCATCTTAACTATATAATAATAAAAATAATATTGTTGAACAAATTTTAGACTAGTTTTCTCTAATGAAGACAAAACATATTGAGTTTTTGGAGAAGTTACAGCAAAAAAAAACCTATTTTTTTTTTAAAGAGAGAAATAGAGGGGAGAGAGAAAGAGACAGAGAAATTTTAATATTTATTTATTTTTTTTAGTTTTTCGGCGGAAACAATATCTTTGGTTGTATGTGGTGCTGAGGATCGAACCCGGGCCGCACGCATGCCAGGTGAGCGTGCTACCGCTTGAGCCACATCCCCAGCCCAACTATTTGTTTTTATTTGTACAAATATTTCGCATTGTGTCGTAAAGTAACAAAGATGTGTTTCTTGTGAGGATGAAAAGGATAAATCCCGCATTGGTCCCAATCTTTCTCATCTATGTGGTTACTAACCAATACTAAAGGACATCACCAGTGGGAGTGTTGCAACAGGAGGTAAAAAAGAAAAAAAAAACCTTTAAAAACTTTTATTTTAAAACTGAAAACACTAAAATAAAGTAGTTATAGCTCAGTAGAGTAATTTTGTCACAGTTTTATCATTCTACTCCACGTTGTTCCCATGGCAGACATCACTACCAGACCAAAGCATCTAGTTCTATGGTGAAGGGCTATCAAGTCATCTCAGAACAGATTTTCAAGTATCCACTGGCATTTAATCAGAGTTTTATTTCAAGATGAAACCTGTTTCCCATCCATGTTATTGTAAATTATTTCCCTCGTTTCACAAAGTAAACACTTGAAACTTTCTGGAAGCTATCTTAGACCCAAAATGGCAGCCATGTCTCCTCAAGTGGGCAGTGTGTCTTTCTAATGATACTCAGATGTCAAAACACTCATAGAATTCAGTTAGTCTAACAAAAGAAAAATCATCCTTAACTTTTTTCTCAGACATTACAAAGCACAATGGAAACCCTCTTTTCTTAAATTCTAGAAGGAATAATTTACTGAACTAATTAAGTAAACAAAATAATTAAAAGAGAATCATATAAAGGTCATAGGTATATTTGATGGTTTATTATATAAGACTTAAGTAGATAGGAATACTATTGTTTTGTTATAGAATCAAGATCTTTTTCTTTGAGTAAGAATCCACTATTATGGATTTGTTACTATTTTTTTCCTTCTTAACTCTCAGGCACAGCTTTTGATTTCTAATTTTTTTCAAATTTTGTTTTCTTTCTTTCTTTCTTTTTTATTGTTTTAATTAGTTACACATGACAGTACAATGATCTTGACATATCATACATTTGAATCAGATGGGATATAATTTCTCATTTTTCTGAGTGTACAGGTTGCAGAATTACACTGGTCATGCAGTCACGTATATACCCACAGCAATAATAATGTCTATTTTATTCTGTTGTCCTTCCATTCCCCCCTTCTCCTCCCCTCCAGTCCCATCACTTCTCTCTACCCAATCTAATGTAACCCACTTCTTTTTTTTCCCCCCTCACATCATCATACCTGAATTCTGTATATTGAAGGGGGGGTTTCCTTCCCTCTTCCATGGAATTCCCCTTCTCCCTCCCTTTTCCTCCCACCTCTCTTCCCTATCTAGAGGTTCTAATTTTTTTAATGAAAAAAAAAAGTCAAAGCTATTTGTAAAGCAATCTGAAAACAAAAGACTTGCTCAATTTTATAGTTTTTATAAAATATTTCATATACTTTTGTCAACTTGCTTTTATTCAATTCCAAAGTAGTTTCCTTGGTTTTGACACCCCTGTCAAAAAAAAAACAAAACAAAACTTTCCCACCAATCATTTTGCATTAAATTGTACAATATTTAAATAAATTATGAAATGAAAATACAAGAAAAATGGCAGTGACACCTGAGGTGACAAATGCATGTTACTCTTGACACAATATACACAGTTGGAGAGATGAACTACCCTGGAAAACAATTAGTATGTTCCACAAAGGAAATTGAGACCCTGAATTAATCCCAGGAGTTAACTAGATGGAGTTGAGGGGTTCTGTTATATTGATTTCAACTTGAGATAACTTGTGTTTATAAATTATATTCTTCTTTATGACCAGTTTTTATTCTCTACTTCTAAACCCAATTAGTCTATATTCAAAATATTGTTATTTGTTTAAAAAGAAGAAAAGGAAGATGAAAGAGGATAAAGAAGAAAAGAAAAAATAGATGAGAAAAGAAGAAAATGTCACAGAAATAATTTTAGTTATGATTAGTTTTGGATTTTTACTTATGCATCATAATCAAAACAAGTATCATACTCTTAGTATTCCTTTGTGTTTTACATTCAGCAGTGATTGTGGAGTTTTCATGATTCAGAAAACATATGCATGGCACAATTGAACAAAATTGAATTATAAAATTAAATTATATAAACCCTAGATACATAAAACAGATATAGTTCTAATTTATATGTTTTCACTTTAAAATTTACTTATTTTCAAGACAGAGGCTGATGGATATCAGCCAGACAGCCTTTCATTATTGCTTCATCAAGTAATTCCTATGAGTGAATTCATTAAGGCTATATTAGATTAAGAGCTTAATTAATTAAAAGAAAAACTATTTTTATGCCCTAGTGACAATAGAAACAATTATTCTTAAATAAAAGAGACTAATATTACTAAACCCTATAATCAACATAAATTTATGAGTACTTTTAAGTCTATTTTGGAAAGTTTAATTGGGAAAAAACATCATGTGTATATTCTTATATATGAAATAATAATTTTAAATTAGAAGCACACCTTTTCTAAAACACAAATATATAAACTTCATATCCACAACTAAGAATATAAATGAGAAGCTATGGCTTACTGAAAATCTCTTAGCAGAAGATGTTACTTTCAAGTATCTGCTCTCAAAGCTGAGCAAAATATTACTCTTTTTTTTTTAGTGTAATCTCATGTTTTGTAGGCTTAGATGTACTGTCTTAGACCTGGTCAGGTCAAATATTCCACAGAGAATGACAAAATTATTTGCAGATAAAAAGTCAATTTTGAGTAGCACAACTAACAATGTTGAAAGATGTGTTTTTTTGTCAAAACAATGGTTCTGTAAGTTGGCATGTAAAATATATAATTTAAAATATTTTAGAGCCACATAATGAGATGAAAACAGCACAGTCCTTTAAAAGAGAACAACTCAATTTCCTACTGACTATTCAAGATAATACCAGAAACATTTCTATCTTATCTGTAACACTATTAAGCCTGTTAAATTGTTCTAAACTTTATATTTGATTTAATCATTCCTTCATAGCGTGATTGAAAATAGCAAACAGGCTAATAAAAAACAAGGTTATTTTCATGAGAGAATTTTCATGAAAACAATTTGAGATGCTAACACCAATATAAAAACATAAAATGTGTTCACTAAATTTATTTCTTTAAGATTATTTTACCTTACCCAAAATGCATATTAATCCCAAAAGTACACCTGTAATTTTTGTTGGTTTCATATTCCACTTTCTAAGCATGAAGATTATATAAATAGGATCATCAAAATCCAGATGAAATTTCAACAAGTTACAATCTAAATCAACCCAGCATATTTTCCAGTGTAAGTAGAAAAATATTAAGTGGAGAATAATGTCTAACAAAATGGCTTATTAATCTAAAGCAAAGCAATTTTCATTTCTCAAAAAAAAAAACTGTATTAAAATAAATCACTGTATCTCCTTGCTAATACTGTAACTTAATATTCATTTCTCTTTTTGAAATAGAAATCCAGCCTCTTCTTTCTCCTAATTTTGGTGTGAGAAAATAGGAAAATAAAAATATTACAATAAGCAAATAAAAATAAGATTAGTCTTCAAAACAAG